ATAATTACAGTGACATGCCAACCTTGAATTCAACAGAATCATCATGTTGATGTTTTACGGAGGTATCTAAATAACTCTGTCTGGTGTATATTCTCGCAAACTTACCATCAAACCAGCAATATCGTTGGGTTCTAAACCAGTTGAGTTACTTTTATTAAGGGACATTTTAGGACATAATTAAAAGAAGTCCAAATTAAAACTAAGAAAAATAACCTTAATGTTGATGATCAAGTATCCATCAAGAGCTGGTGGGTGGTAATGGATGTTGCCACCTCTCTCTCTCTCTCTCTCTAAATCTTACTTGCCCCTTTATCCTCCTCTCTCTTCTCCCCCTAAAGCTTTTGCAACAAATAAAGTCCCTCTCTCTCTCTCTCTAGGTTCAGAAGGACTCACAAGAGAGAGAGAGTATGATTGATAGGGAAAGAGTGAGAAAGAAAGTAAAATATAATAGATTATTAGGACACGATTGTCATCTTTTGATTTGTGTCTTGTGTGCTCTCTCTTTCTTTTCTTCCTCGATTGATCTTCTTTATATAACCCTACCCTCTTTCTCTTTTCCCATTCTTTCTATCATTCCCTCTCTCTCTCTTTCTCTCTCGGGATCTGATCTCTCTTTCCAGTAACCTATTCCCGAGGAGCACTGTCAAATCTTGTCCACTCTTTGATCTTATCTCGATCTCTTTCTCTCTCTAGTCTCGTATGGTGAAGTGTTCAAACTTCTGATGTTAAGCTACATATATATATATATATAGTAAGCACGAGAGAGAATCATACAATAGCTGAAACACAAAGCTTTGTTAGAAGCTGTTAAAAAGGTTTCATCTGGATCATCCTGTATCTAAAGTTTGTTCAGGTAAACCCTAATTTTATGTCAACTTTCTTTAAATTTCCGATTGAATATGATAATATTGGGTGTTTTTTCTTCTTTAAGTAAAACTTGATCATCATCTTTAATTAATCATCCTTGATCATTATCTTCATCAATCACCTTGTTCTGCATCATGATCATCATCATCATCTCATATATATACTCAATGTTGCTGATGTTACAAGCAAAGCAAACTATCATCTAAACCTAAAATATTAAATTATAATAAAATAGATAAATAAGTATATCAAGCTGTTTTTTTGTTTAGTTAATTAGAAGTTTTCATAAGATGTTATACTATAATCTAAAAAATAATCTCTTAAGATGGATCATCATCTCTTCAAACAATACTACTCCTCTTCATATGCTGATCTCTTTACTTGTTTGGTTATAGTACTTACATGGAAAAATAATCCAAGTTGGTGTTATAAGACTGAAACAATAAATAAGCAGAATCAATTTTTAATATCGATCAGTATATTAAACCCGAAATTATGCATCTCATTACTACCATCATATATGATAATTGGAAATTATTCTGGGAGTTTCACTGATTTCAGTTTCTTAATTAAAATTCAACTATAACATGACTTTAAAGTTTAAACTAATGAATTTAGTTATCTTGAAACTAGATAACCATGGGAAATGGTCTCATATATCTTTAGATGTAACAAAACTAATTCTTGTAACAAATAAATGTATGACGATAATTTTGTCGATTTTGAATTCAATCTCTTATACATTCAGCATAATACGCGTAATCATATGTCTGTGTCGAAATAATAAACCAATTCACAATGACATTATGTAAGAAAGGTAACTACGTACCTAGCTATAACACTATTTGTATGTTCATAATTTCATGACTTTGTTTTCAATTTGTTTGGTAATTTTCTTATAAGCAGATTATTAATCGATCAAGAAGACTAAAGATGAATTCATTTTCCCACGTCCCTCCGGGTTTTAGATTTCACCCGACAGATGAAGAACTTGTAGACTACTACCTGAGGAAAAAAGTCGCATCGAAGAGAATAGAAATCGATTTCATAAAGGACATTGATCTTTACAAGATTGAGCCATGGGACCTTCAAGGTTTTCTCATCCCACCATCTCTATCCTTCATTCATTTGATTCAATTTCCTAAGGAAAGTTTTTAAAAGTGTTATTTTGTGGAAATAGAGTTGTGCAAAATTGGGCATGAAGAGCAGAGTGATTGGTACTTCTTTAGCCATAAAGACAAGAAATATCCCACAGGGACTCGAACCAATAGAGCAACAAAAGCTGGATTTTGGAAAGCCACTGGAAGAGATAAGGCTATCTATTTGAGGCATAGTCTAATTGGTATGAGGAAAACACTTGTGTTTTACAAGGGAAGAGCCCCGAATGGACAAAAGTCCGATTGGATCATGCATGAATACCGCTTGGAAACCGATGAAAACGGAACTCCTCAGGTATTAATATATCAACCCTAAACCGTAACTTCTCTATAAAATTTAGTTGGATGTTTATGCTAAACAATATCGAACTATATATATGATCTCCTGAAATCATTTGAGGTAATCTCATTATATGATCTTTGGTTGTAGGAAGAAGGATGGGTTGTGTGTAGGGTTTTCAAGAAGAGATTGGCTGCAGTTAGACGAATGGGAGATTACGACTCATCGCCTTCACATTGGTACGATGATCAACTTTCTTTTATGGCCTCCGAGCTCGAGACAAACGGTCAACGACGGATTCTACCCAATCATCATCATCAGCAGCAGCACGAGCACCAACAACATATGCCATATGGCCTCAATGCATCTGCTTACGCTCTCAACAACCCTAACTTGCAATGCAAGCAAGAGCTAGAACTACACTATAACCACCTGGTACAACGAAATCATCTTCTTGATGAATCTCATTTATCATTCCTCCAACTTCCTCAACTAGAAAGCCCTAAGATTCAACAAGATAACAGTAATTGCAACTCTCTTCCTTATGGAACAAGCAACATCGATAATAACTCGAGCCATAATGCTAACTTGCAGCAATCAAATCTCGCGCATGAGGAACACTTGAATCAAGGGAATCAGAACTTCAGCTCTCTATACATGAATAGCGACAACGAGCAAGTGATGGACCAAGTCACGGACTGGAGAGTTCTCGATAAATTTGTAGCTTCTCAGCTAAGCAACGAGGAGGCCGCCACAGCTTCTGCATCTATACAGAACAATGCCAAGGACACAAGCAATGCTGAGTACCAAGTTGATGAAGAAAAAGATCCGAAAAGGGCTTCAGACATGGGAGAAGAATATGCTGCTTCTACTTCGTCGAGTTGTCAGATTGATCTATGGAAGTAAGCAGAAAGAGAAGATTATATAATATAAATGCATATATACCTATATATACGTACACACGAACACTAATCAAGTGTAGATGATGATGATGATGATGGTACAGATTTATATTTGCTTTGATTGATTCTTACTACATTATTGAACTTATGGTATATGCATATATACATTGCGTATCTATGCATGTATACTTGTACTCACTATGATTAACCATATATAAACTCTAATCTAAATGTAACTCCAATATTTTTAATAGACAATTGTCTCTTATTATTTTTGTTTCTAAATAATCTTCTAGTTATATATAAAACAATTTCACAAACACTAAAAAGATATAAAAAGATTAAAAAAAAAAAAAAGCTTTGTACTTCAAATTTATTTGTCTGTCCAGATTCTCACTAGCTGTACTATATCCACATCTCATTTGTTCTTTTAGAAGCGTTCAGTAATATTTATTATTAATGTAAGATTCTTGAAATACATATTCTGGACAACAATGCATGAAGTATGTACTTATTGAATATGGAAAATAGTGAAACATACACACAATCTACACAAGTCATATATAGGTATAGTATATATAGAGCAAATTCAAAAAAAATTATACTAATTAAAATTTGGACTGGCGACTTACCGGAGTTGTGTTCATGAGAAAAATTACTCCAATGAAGCTTGAAGAGGATGTATAACCATAAATAGTGAAAAGGAAAGAAGGAGAATGTGGCTTGAAGGAGATACATACTCGAGTCAAGACTATTGTTATATAGAGACAAGCCGTGAAAAAAAAAAAGAATAACCTCTTTTAGTTTGTTTGTTTTCTTATACACATGAAAGAAGAAGCTAAAACATTTTATGAAGAAATTTTGTAATTATTGTGTCTGATTCAATGTCGGCACTAAAAGAAACCGTAGATTATAATTCACCTAGGTATAACTTTTAATAATTTTCTTACTGCGATTAACGAATATAATTTGTGATTAATATTAAAAGATGAATTAACTTAGACGACTAAATTCTGTTAAATTGTGCGGATATATTGGGCCACTCTTGGACTTGATTGATCATCGTATCGTATGGCAGGCGGGTATATTAACGAATATCGTATCATTTTCCCAAGTTTGATCAATCTCCTCATCTAATTTTTAAAGAAATTTTTTTCAATTAAAAAAAAATGGGAGAAAATGATCAAAATCGTCCACATTTAATTTGGTGCAAGGAAAAAAAAAATAAAAAAATTGGTGCAAGGTCCAAGGAACATCATGATTAGGGCGTGCTCTTTGGTTGTTTGACAGAAACGGTCCAGAGAAGCTTTGAATAATCCAAAAAAAAATTAATTACCGGCTGCTATAATAAACAATTAATTACACATTTGGACTGTTAAATTAATACTGTAGCAATTTAATCACCAACACTGTCGTTACCGACTTGAATCCTGAGTAACATTAGGGGGTAATGGAGCATATAATATGAGACAGTAACATGTGACACTAATTATTAGTCTGTTTCTGCTCTTTTATAATCCACAAATCCAAGACCATAATATATACTTTGAAACACGAATGATTATTTAACTAAAGATTAAAATGTTGGTTTTCATTTGTAAAGCAAAATTTTGTCAAATTTCATAGGGAAATTATATTGCTAGGGGAATATTTTTAGAATGCTACTATAATTTGTGGTCTGAAAAGTAATCAATCAATTCCTTATTTTAAAATGCTAGGGGACAACCTAGGTAGAGAGACATTCACCAGTTAAAAACACTTTTTGATTGTCTAAGAGACAAAATTAATCATTAATTATCTCTTTTTTTTCAGTGTTATCTTTTTGTTCTTTTTCTTTCTCCAGTCATTTACAATTCAATACTCCTATAAAAATACATTACATGATTACTGTCGCACGACATATTATAAGATATATCTGCATTGTAACCATACATGATTTTTGTAACATCTTTAAACTACTTGGCATCACAGAGACCGGTCTTTTCATCGCAGAATCCATCACGGCCGAGCAGACGTTGAGGCGGTGCACTGAGAAGAGGAGAAGAAGGAGAGCCATATGCATTTCTCCGGCTATTTCCGCAGCCAAGACTCTTCCTCGTGTCCACTCCGGTCAATGGGTTTGTCCCGTTTGCATATTTACACAGAGCCTTCAAAAAGAGATGGAGAACCATTTGTAAGATAGCATTTTCAGCTTTTGATAATGGGAGCGGATGGATAAATGTACACGTTACCTGTTTTTGAAGAAGATCAATCACAGCGTCACTAAAATCGGCACCTTCGATTTTGGCACCACCGAGGTCACTTCGGGTTAGAACCGATCGGACCAGCACTGCATTTGTCAGATTCGCCTCATTTAGCACCTAGATTCGCCAGAAAACAAGCGAGCTTTAACCGAAAGATTAATGCCTCATATGCAAGTAAATGTATACAAAGTACGGTGTGTGGTGTTTACCATGCGGTCCATCAATGTATCACTCAAATCAGCACCTGCCATTGAAATTCACACCTTTCATAAATACAAAACACATTCAGATTAAGGTATGAAAGAATTTCCCCGCAAAATATGAATTCTTTGAAGGGAAGATTTCCTGGATTAAGAAGTTTACAGAACAAGAAAACGGCCGAAGAACTGTGTTTGTTCATAGATACTTGCCAGATTTTCGTGGGACAAAGATGGAATCAAATGAACTACTCAATTCTCAGATTCCATAAGGCTAACACTTCTAGATTTCAAAACTCGGGTGTTGCATGTAATGGAGGTTGTCACTATGGTGAAGTTCATGGAGAACGTTTTAAAGAATTGAAGATAGACATCTCCAGGGTCTTAAAGCTCACAAAAAAAGTTATCCAACAAACAATGAAAGATATACTCCAAATTGATCTAATGAAATAAGTAAAAGAATCGAGCTTTAATCGGGTAACAGTTACTCGAAAAAATGTCAAAATGCTTGTGGAGGCAAAGGAAATGAGATTCAAGGAAGTTTAACTAGTAAAAGGGTACACGTGAAGATTCGATTATGATTTGTGGAAGTTGTTCTCTTTCATAAGTCTAATATCATAAATCCTTAATCATTGCAAAGGGAATACAAGTGATAACACAGTTGAGAAAGACTAACCTGAGAAGTTAGCTTTGTAGGCAACTGCTTTCTCAAGATAGGCACCATTAAAGGTCGAACCGCTGAAATCAGATTCTCTCATGTCTGCAGAAGTAAAGTTGGCTCTTCTGCAATGTCAGTAAGCCACTTCACACAATTAGAACAAAAATCTTGCTTCTTCAGATTGATGGTTTGCTTTGTTGATTCAAGATTTCATTAATTAAAAATTGAGCAAAACACAAAAACTTTTGCTCTCTAAAGATTAAAGCCTTAAACTTTATCATGTTAATTCCAATCTCCATCACAAACGTTAGTCAAAAATTTTACCTGAAATTTTCATTGGAGTGAATTGTTTTGCTGCAAAAGAAACAGAGTTCATCAAAAACAAATGAAAATTCTCAAATAATTTTAAGACAAGAACTCTATATGATACCTGAGATCAGCAGAACCGTACTGAGCAGCCGAGCCAATCCCAAACTCGCCACGTGTATCGGCCTCGAACCTGTTAAGCTCTGCCATGGCAGGAACGCTGGAGCTCGAGGCTATAACCGCAGCCGCCATTGCTGCGGATAAGATCCTCTTCCACGTGTTTGATTCTGATCTGGAACAACAACCTTCCCTTTTCGAAAAACAATTCAATCCCCTAAGTTTCTTAGACCTCCAAAATTTGCAAAAAACAAGAGAACATTGAGATTATATGTTTGTTAGTGGAAGTAATCGAGTCTCACCTAGCGTTTGATGAATCTTTGATTTCTGAGTTTGAACGGGAACTTAGCTGTAGACGTCTCAATGGGTATCTTTGATAATGGTACGGAGATCTTGATACAGAAGATGAGGATCTTGAAATGTCAAGTGACTTCATAGGTAGAGGAGAGAGAGAAGAAAAAGCCATTGTTTAAGGTCTAGAACTTTGCAGAGGAGAAATGTTTACACTCAACTTTGTAGAAGAAGAGATGATCTTGCACGTGTGAAGGATTTCGAACTTTATCCACTTTGATTGGGCAAGGTGTGTACACGTATGTCACTTATGTTTCACCTGTTTTGTTCTTGGTTCCAAGTCTTTCACAATTTACTTTGACTTTGTTCTGCCTTGTGACACAGAACACAGAAGCAGAGGAAACAAAAAATCAGATCTTTAGTTTGGCTTTCCACAAAATCGTCAATCATGTGCTGTAACAACTAACAAGGTCTTGAACAGAAACTTATTGCTGTGTTTATATACTGATGTATGCGTGAAACGAATCGAAACCATTAAAATTGCAAGAATTCCACAAAGCAAAACTACTTTAGAATGTGTAATACTCTTCGAGGTTTTCCGGATTAAAGTCGGGGTCAACAGGTGCACCGTTCTTGATCTTCGCTTGAAGCTCTAAACTCTTGGGAAGTATAATCTCAACTCCTAAACCTTGTGTAGAGAAATACCTCTCCAACAATATCTGTAACATAAGATTCAATAAGGAACATAGTAGCTACATTTAAACAACTCAAAGATCGTGTTCTCATCGCCTTACCACAGCAGCGTAAGCATCTGATCTGTTCTGTCTTTCACTCTTACTAAGTCCCCTGAAAGAAAATAGAATGTTCAAAACATGAAAATTATCATGAAAGTTCAATGTTTTAAGGAAGCACTAAGTACATTAAGGTTGTTGATAGATCATAATGTAGATAAAAAGACATGAAACATGAATTGCTTAACAAAGAACAGAGACAGATCCAGAAAAGAAACTAACATTACAATCATTCTGTCTGAAGCTTCTGATGTTGTTCCATGTTCATCAAATACATAAACCCTCCAACCCCTGAAAAGGCCAGAACTTTACCAATTTCATCACATTACATCGATATATAAATGTCTGAGTGTGAGTTTGCTTCACCTCTCGGCGGCTTGAACAGCGAGACGTCCAGCAACAGATCGGATTTTGTTCGATTGAATCGTCTCTTTCCCGTCAGAAGATCTCGGCAACCCAATTATGAATTCATCAACCTCCTCTTCTTCAGCAATTTCTAATAGCCTGGTCTCGAGCTTTTGTCCTCTCGATTTCAAAACCTGATAAAACCCAATTCACATCGATTTCGTTATCGTAAACGCAACGAGGTCGAGAAATTTCGAAGTTACCGTGAGAGGTTTAACGGTGTAGCCTTTACTAATAGCGACTCCGGTTCGAGATAAACCTAAATCTACGCCGAGACTGAACCCACCTCTCCAATCCCGGTCTATTTTCCGGCGAACGGCATTAGGAGGGATTTCATCAATTGACGTCGCTGCCCTCAACGGTAGAGGATTATTACGAGATCCTATAGAAGATAAGCGAGGAACGAGAGGGGTATTTACGTACTTTTGGGTTCTGAATGAAATTGCTACGGAAGAAAGAGAGTGAAGAGAACACATTGCTTTAGGGCAAGGAGAAGCCGAACAGTACCATCGCCAACACTTGACGATGAGCCCAAAAAATAAGGCTCTGTTTCCCCAAACCCTCTTTGCCAATCCGAAGGTTTTAATTATAACAAGAGGAATTCTACTAAACAAATTTATTTCTCCAAAATTGTAAATTTGTAATACTAATAATGATGTTTCACTGCCCTTTTTTCTACATGATGGATGAAAGATCAAATAAAATAATTAAACGGCTAAATTGGAAAAGAAGAACCAAAAAAAAAGAGACCATTAATTTATTACAGATAAATAAATCTATGTATAAAAAATGAGGAAGGAAATAAAAATAATCAGGTACGGGTGAGAGCACGGAAAGCTTCCTCAGTGTAAGGATGAATAAAAGCACTGTTCATTTGCCAAACTCTAAACGACGCCGTAATAGTCGCATCAAGAGCATTATTGAACAAGAAGAGCTTGGCTGCTCCATAGATTGCACTTGTCGGATAAACTCTTGATGTTATACATGTTCTTCCACCTTGTCCAAATGCTTCTACTATCGAATGGTCCACCTATTGAAAATAATAAAAACATAAAAAATTCAATCCATATTGTAATGAGTTAATGGAATTAGCATATCAAAGTATATATGGTTTGATATATGATTCAGTTATTTACCAAAATTCTCATGGTCAATTTCTCCCCTTTTAGAACCGGTACGACACTACCGTATATCAGTTTGACGACATCGTTTGCTACAGATGACCTGTCATAGGAAAGTGTTGTTTTTACATAACCGAATGTAATATATTATGGTTTATTATAATGGGTATTGATTCTAAGAAATTGATACCTTGAGGTGTCTATGCAGAAGAAAGTTTTGAGCTCTGAATCTTTTCCTTTAGCTACATAGAAGTAAACCGGTGTTTGCTCTGACAAGCTTTCAGTAGCGAGAACAGAGAATCCAAATGGCCCTAAAGCACCACGGACTGTGGAGCCTCCACTCTTCTCGCAGCTAAATTCCTCGGCTTCAGCCATTACGGAAGCGTTTCCGAGAATTTTGTCTAGAGATTCTTTATTAATCTCGAATTCTGCTTCGATATCTAGCTGAGCCGCGGAACCTACATCTACCGGAACCACTGACCCAGGACCGACCTTGATATCGAATTGCTTGCTGCTTAGTCTAAGAGATTTGATTTCTTCTACTGGCCATTGAACCAAGTTCTTTCCTGTCTTTGTGTCGAGCACAACGGTTCTTGGGATACCCTGATGATCGCATACACAAAAATCTTAGAAACTTGGATTACAAGCTACTATTACAAAAAACCTAACTTTGACAACACACTACGTCAAGGAAAAAACACATACCTGAACAGACGACCAACCCTTTTGTACATCAGCAGCCTCACTATCAGATTCACCAATCCAACTCCACAAGACTCTTCGACCCTTGTTCTGGTCATAAAACGTTTTTGAAGCATAGAACTTTCCGTAATCATATCTTAAACTAGTACTCATCCCGACATCGATAGTAGGATCATCCGGGATCCATGTTCCGTTTGAATCGAAATACGTGCCTACAGCATAATGGTCGAACCTGGTGTCGTCCATGCTAGCCTTCACGATATGCTTCACATCCGGTCCTTTGACCGATGTGTCGAGCCCATTGACCGCGGTCTTAGACACCGGGTAAAAGTCAACACACTCCCACATTCCGGTGTTAGGAACTCGGTGCAACAAAGTGTCCAGTTTCTCGTATGTTTTAAAGTCGGTCGTGTCGTACACCAGTGAGATTCCAGTTCTGTTGAGCTTGGAGCCAATCGTGATCCGCCATTTTCCTTCTGATGTCTTCCACGCAGTCGTTGGATCACGGAAGTCCTTAGGGAGAATACCGGGCGGAGGTACTAGAACCGGATTTCCCGGGAACTTGACCCATTTCAACAAAAGTGGGTCGCTGGGGTCCTCAGGGTAGGCAAGGTTTTGGACCTAAAACATTATATTATGATCATTGATACAATCATTAAACCTAATTTACATGTTCAGTATCTAACATACCAAAAATCTGGCTATATGAACTTATACTTATTAACTATACTATACGCCTAACATTTCAAACAAACAAAAAATCATTTATTGTTCTAAGAAATCATTTTCAGACATAAATATATATCATTGGATCTACCTACTGATGGTCGAATTAGTTTTTATAGTTAAAAGTTAAAACGTACTAGTTTGGTAATATATATCTTCAAAACAAAACTTGCTAGATTTTACAATTTATTGGATTCAACCATTTTTAGTAGAATGTTATTAGATTTTATATTTTATAAAAGAGTACTTTGGTAGTAAGCTACAAAAAATAAAAATGTTGATTTGAAATTATTGTGTGTGTTCTTTTTTTTTTTTTTAAGTTAACTTGTTTCTTGTGAATACTGTTTCTAAAATGTTATTGTCTTGGTCCAACAATTTAAAGATTGAATGTAAACTGTAAAGTTGGAATAATTTCGGGGAACATATACCTGCACGGCTTTGTCGGTGGAACCGGTATAGAGCATGACTATAGAGCCATCAGGGAGAATTGTGGCTGAGCCGGTCCACACACCATTGGAGTCGTACCATTGATCAGCGACCATGGCTATGGGCAAATGGACCCAATGGATTAGGTCCCTAGACACGGCGTGACCCCAAACAATGTCACCCCATACGGCTGCGTTTGGGTTATATTGGTAGAAGAAATGGTACCATCCTTTGTAGAACAATGGACCTGGACAAAATTGCAAACATTTTAGTCTTTTGGGGTCAAAATAAGAATAATAAATAAATATTGGGGATTCTATTAGTACATAAGAAAGTTTTAAGGTACCAAAAACAAATATAGCTTAGTTCGTATACCCCACTGGCTTTATCCAATTTTGAGACAAGATCCAAACTTTGCATTCATAAAGGATTTTATACAATCAAGATTACTTTTCTATGGCAACCAATGATTTCTTTAGCAAAAATAAAAAACCAATGATTTAAACAATCTTTTTAGCATGTGAAATTCTCACGTGGGATACAAACTGGCAAAACAATTTTTTTAAAAGAAATAATCCTAATTTTGCAATTGGTTGTGAGGTAACACTGTTCTGATTTTGTCTGTGAACTTTTTACCTTTGTTGTAAATAAATATATTATTTTTTCAAAAAAGTACAACTAAATATTACTAGTAATTTTGTAATTGGTTGCGAGGTAACTCTGTTCTGATTTTGTCGGTGAACTTTTTACTTTGTTAGTTGTATATATTTTTGTTGATTACTGGCTATAACGTGGATTGTGTGAAATGTTGTTCTGTGATCTACTACTTCTTGTCGCTCCAGTTATTATTAATTTTCAAATTCTACATAATCAAAAGAAACCAAAATTCACAGAATCTAAGAGAAATTCAGAAAACAAAGGAAAGTAAAACTTACCATTAGGATCTGAGGAAAGAAAAGCCCAAATTTGCCATTGTGCAACACCATATTGGAACAAAACAAACAAACAAACTAATTAGTAATTACTATGAATCTATATAATGCTTTAGTATTATCACAAGATCTTATGATGAATCTATATAATGCTTTAGTATTAAAATTCACTGGATTTGAATGAATCAATCACTGTTGCATAATTTGGAAATTTTTATATGATTTTCAACATTTTCTCCCAGATTATGGAAAACAAATATACATGAAAAGGAAGAATGAATATTCTGTGAATTTGTAACAAAAAAGAGTATATACTCTCTCTTTTTGCTACTCAAATTAACAAATAAGTAAAATCAATAAAATAGTTTTTTTTTAATGTAATTATTGTTTACCGTTCATCCAATTTTGCTCAGGCTGGAAATGAAACGCCGTTCGTTGCCACGACAACATACTATTGTTCCATTCAAACGCCGGCGTGTTCCGATCACCGGAAAGTTTCCATAACCCATCATTACTTTTCTCCGACACACCAGCAAGACGTGCACGTGACGTTATCGTCTCTGTTTCATCGATCCCAGCGTCGTTGGATCTAGATCCGTCGTGTGTGGCGATGAGAGCGACGTAAAAGGCGATAAATAAAAGACCAAATGAGACGGCGAGGAGACCTTTAAAGGGTCTTCTTCTCCGGCCATGGGTTTCTTGATTCGGGTCCGCCATGGGTAATCTTGTGTAGGGACATAATGGCTCTTCTTCTCTGGCGGAGATTGGCAAGAGAGCATCGGAGCTCGCCATTTTTCTCGTTTTCGGGTTTTTCTTTTTGAGATTGATGACACGAGAAAGAGCAAACGTGTTTATATATATTTATAATATCGAGAATTGTAAAAAAAAAAAAAAAGTGTTGAATCTCACAAGAAGAGAAATTGTTGGATTTATTATTTAATGTCTTCAGGGCGGCCCAAACTATTTGAGTGCCTAAAGCAAAAAAATTTTTGGCCCATTAACAAAAGCTGTTATAAAAAAAAAATACAAATTTCAACATGTATGGGATTCGAAACCATAACCTGTACAACAAAAAACTTCAATCTAACCACTAGACCACAGTAACATTTTAAAAATTGTTGCCCTTAAAACTACTTATAGTTATTCTTCGCTGGAAGAGAGGGAGTTGGGTACAAATGTCAAAAGTAAAATAGAGTTTGGTCTACAAATTAGAACTGTAATTTTTCTGTTTGTATTTATGCCGTGTTATTAGAAAAAATCATTAGTTTTTCAAGAAGAGAAAAAGTTAGATTTTCTTATATATATTTGGTTGTAAAACGTAAACTAATCAAATTTCTCAAAATTGGAAAATAAAAAGTAAAAGAATTTCATAAGGAAAACAATTGTATTCGTCCTTATCAGTTAATTAGTCTTAATTTCGTTTGTTTGAATGGGTATGACAATGATATGAATTTTATTGTCTAGATTGAATTGTCCACGTAGTTTTTATACATATCCGTAGATAGAAAGACAGTCTTTCGAATCTTTAAAAACTGACTTTTGTGGATTTCTTTTTTGACATGGTAGATGTAGTTTCTAATATGAATTCTCATTTTTGGATAGCATACAATATGTAAAATTTTCACATGTAATAAAATTTAGTAGATAAATTTAT